ACAACACCAACTACTTCTACAACGTCTCCCTTTCCAGGGTCCCCTAACCATTCAGTCCTGTCATGGCTTGGATCTGTCTGAATGGTTTCTAAGTGTGAGCTTCCTGCACATCTGGGATGACTATGTGAGACCCAGCTCCCCCACAGGGGTTAATAGCATATACATTTCAGCTGTACAGCTTTATCATGTGGCATCTCTATAGAACGTGTGCTCACCCTCCCAAGCCTGGTCTCCCTCGGTCATCATGTACTTGACCCTTCACCTCTTCATCCTCCCCCAGCTCCCTTCCTTCTGCTAACTACCATTCTGTTGTTTGTGTATATGAGTTTGTTTTTTGTCTGTTTTGTTTGTTCATTCGTTGCTTTTTGTTTTATATCCCACATACGTGTGAAATCATAAAGTTCTTGTCCTTTGTCATTTGACCCCTGTCACTTAGCATAGTACTCTGAAGATCCATCCATGTTGTTGCAAATAGCAATATTGCATCTTTTATTGTTTTCATGACTGAGAGGTATCGCTATTCTTATTACTGAAGGTGATGTCCGTCTTTGTCCTGAGGTCTCCAGCTGGGCCCATCCCTGAGAAGCTCCTGTGACAAGGTTGTATGTGTTAAATGCAGAGAGCAATACTTCTCTCTTGGAGCAGAGGTTGGCAAACTGTGGACCCTGGGTTAAATCTGGCCTGCCACCTGTTTGGATAAATAAAATTGTATTGGTGCACAGCCACACCCATTTGTTTACCTGTTGCCGCTGGCTGCTTCTATGCTCAAATGGCAGCATTAGTAGTTGTGACAGAGACTGTGTAGCTGCAGAGCTGAAAGTATTTACCATCTGACCCTTTACATGAAAAGCATGCTGACCCCTGACTTAGTGGTGATGATCGAACTCACTGCCATTTATATACCCACATATATAAATCATACTTACGTAGGTCAAGTATGGTGCCTGGCAGAGAGCAGAAGCCCAACGAATCTTTAGTTCCTCTTCTGCACTTAATTCTGTTCAAGAATACACGGGATCATATCAGAAATGCAGAGGCAGACACATTTATATTTCTATTGAATTCCATTCCTCCCTCATTTTCAAAAGAAAGGCTCATGTTTAAAAAATATTCTGATTGGCACTATAAACTTTATTTATGCTTTAATGTATCCCAAAGTATGTATCCTGCACTATTTTTACTTCCTGTACAGATGCTGAAATGCTATACATTACCAAACCCAAATGGATTTTCAAAATCCAATTTCCTGGCTACAGTTTTCCATTTCTCTGTTGACTTTATGCTTGACTCACATCAGAGCATCTGAGGCCGTTGGCACATTTTGACTTCAACCTGTCCAGATACATAGCTCCTCTGTGGGTGCAGGGACGTGGTGCTGGGTCCTTGGCCTGTGACTGCACATGCCCTGTCTGCCCTCAGTTATGTGGGTCTTCCCCAAACCAGAACCTGTGCTTTAGAGGCTGAGCCCAATTCCTGGGTGAGGGTAGGCTTAGGAGGGTTTTGATTTCCCCTAAAACGATTGTGATGGGGTTGACATCAGTTAATTGGGGCTGTTTGCTCTTTAAAACTGAATGAGGTGAGCAATCACACGAGGGTCTTTAGGGGAATCTCTCCCACCCTAAGCCTTCTGCAAGTTGTCTGCCACACACATCTGCAGAGGTGGCCAGGTGTTGATGGCAGGCTACTTTGTCAGGTGTTGTGGCTCCAAGGAATTGCACCAAGACAGATATATATATATACATAATTTCTGAAAGAGCAAGAAGAGCTGCAGTGAGACTCGAGGTTATGGGTTTGACTATTCCGTGCTTCTCCAGAGGCAGCGAGTCTCTCCTTTCTTCTTCTTCTGAGTCTCTCAGTACCTGATCCTGGGGCTGGTGGCATGGCTCTGCATCTCTGTGGCTCCTGTGAATTCCCAGTCCTTTCTGAGCCTCTGGAATCCTCAATCTTTGAGCTTTGATATATCTTTGGGAAGGTGTTTTCTGCATTGTATCTTAAGTGTATGTTGGTCGTCTTTCTCTATACTTTGAAAACTTTATGAGGGTAAGAATCATATCTGTTGATTCTATGCCCCTTTGTTAACTGTTTCTAGAATAAGCAAGGGGTGGATTCAAATGGGAGAGAGCCAACCCATTTGGAAGTTCTCCATCCTTATGCAAGATTTGGCCCTTGGTCTGGGGGAGTTCATTCTCTCTCTGGACTGTTAGAGAGAGCATGGATTCTGTGGTTAGGTTGCAATGGATTTAAATCTGGCTCCAACACGTCCCTTCTGTGTGACCTAAACAGGCCACTTAACTCCTCAACGCATCAATCACCTTATTTAAAGGAGAGGCAAAAATCTACCTCACAAACGTGTGCAAATTAAGTGAGAGCAAGCAAGACAGCATGTGCAACCAGTGCCTAGTGTATTCCCTGGCATGGAGCAAATGCACGGGAGAGCGTGTTTCTTTTGTTAGTCAGGATGGGCAGGGCTCTGCTGTGGTAACAGCTAACCACGAAGATGTCAGTGGTGTAAGACCAGAAAAGCTGATATTTTGCTCTTGAAAAATGGAATGTCACTATCACTGCTTCGTTGACTCTCTGGGTGGCTGTCCTCCAATGAGCATCTCAGGGATCCAGATAGCTTTCTTTCTTTCGTTCTTTCTTCTTCTTTTAAAAAAAAATATATTTTATTGATTTTTTTACAGAGAGGAAGGAGAGGGTTGGAGAGCTAGAAACATCGATGAGAGAGACATCAACCAGCTGCCTCCTGCACACCCCACCAGGGATGTACCCACAACCAATGTACATGCCCCCGACTGGACCTGAGACCCCTCAGTCCATAGGCCAATGCTCTATCCACTGTGCCAAACCAGTTTCAGCTAGATAGCTTTCATCCTTGGATGCCACTACCTTCAACAACAACTGTGAGGATGAAAAGGGAGGTCTTTTATGGGCTAGTCCTACAAACAGTGGCTATCCCTTTGTTACACATTTCCAGGGCTTATCACATGGTCTTCCCCAGATGTGAGGCGGCCTGGAAACGTGGTGTCCTTGTCTGCACGAGAGACACGACCCAAGCAGCGTGCTGTACACAGGCCGCTGTCTTGGCCATGCTTTCCGTCTCTAGCCCCAGAGGCTGTTTTTAGCTCAGGATTGATTCTCGGTCAGCAATTCCCAGGAACACTAGGGATGGATGCTACAGGCTGCCCTTGCTTATCAATTCCAGAGAGCCTGGTCTGCTGTCGATGCCGCTGACCTGATTCATTTGTCTCCCGCAGGCCGGCTCCAGCGAGCGGTGGCCATTTAGGGAAAGGAGGGTGACCTCTTGGAGCCATTGCAGTCGCTGCGTATTTTACATTTCAGACGCTGCGTGTTGTGTTCCCATATCTGGGGCGTCAGTCTGCTGCTCTGGTTGGAGAAGGTTTCTGGAAGAGACTTGGCAGGGTCGTTTGGGACTTGTCAGGCCTGCAGCGTGGGAAAGGGGCTTTCTAGGTACAAGGGCAGGTGTGAGACTTGGAAGAGCAGCTGGAGCCGAGGGATTGACAGGGGCTCCTGGTTCCTCCCATGTAGCTGGCCTGTGTCAGGCATCCCATTTACACGTATTGGTTCATCCATTCAATATTGATTCAGCCCCTTCCCTGTGCCAGCACCATTTCCATTTTACTGTGTGGTGGAAGCATGCTGATCGCCTTCCTTCTTGTCTTTCAAAGGTCACCCTTCCCTACTGTATGGGCAAAGTCTCTTCTGTCACCTTTTTATAATTTTTTTTTATTGATTAAGGTATTGCATATGTGTCCATATCCTCCTATTGTCCGCCCACCCTACTGTTGTACATGCTCTCACGCCCCCTGCTGTCTCTGTCCATTGGTTATGCTGACATGTATGCAAGTCTTTTGGTTGATCACTCCCCCTTACCATCCTTCCCTACCTTCCCTCTGAGGTTTGAGCTTCTGATCGATGCTTCTCTGCCTTTGGATCTGTTTTTGTTCATCAGTTTATGTTCATTATAATCTGCAAGTGAGTGAGATCATGTGGTATTTATCTCTTCTGTCACCTTTTCCTGGCCTTTCCTTGGTCTCCTGGGCTTCCCATCCTTGCCTGCTGACTCCTGTTAGTCCACACTGGCCATCACCTGCAGTGTCCTTCCTCCTCTTCCCCATCCCTGGATGCTCACCTTCTCACAGCCCTGATCAGTGTACCTCCTCCTGGATATGGTGGCTCCTGTTTCACCAGACCAGCATTTCCAGTGTTACCCGGAGGAGGCTCACAGCACACAGCATGTGCCTCGAATAAACTCTCGCCAACATTGAATTGACACCGCTTGTTATAAAATGGTGGATGTCTTAGATTTAAACACTATCAACATTAACTGTATTATCTGCCGGGCGCATGCTTATCTAATTCTTCACATATTTGATTTTTACTTTATGAAAATGATTATTTCAAAAATCACTTCTAGAGGGTTGGAGGTGGATGTTGAGAACTTATTCTGTGCCCGTTACTTTTCATATGTTACTCCATTTCATCCTCATGATATTTCTGTCAGGTGGATCTTTCCCTTCATATCACAGGTGGGGAAACTGAGGTACAGATTAGACAGATGGTTGAAGCCCCTGGCCCGGGCTGATGCAGTTTTGCAAAGCTCAGACCGTGCCTGGTTTTGCGGGACTTCGAAGCTGGTGCTCTCTGCTGCCTCGCAGCCTCTCTCTGTGCTGCAGCCGCAGAGGCATGCCCCGGCATTCATTTCTTCCTGCTTGGAATGAGACGTCGCTGTTTACTTTCTCGGGGAGGAAGATTAAAATCAATGTAGCTAGCCTTATTAACTGTTTAACATAGGGGGGACCTGCAGATGCCAGCGCTTTTCCTGAGAGCACCAAAGCAAATATAAAAATCCAATTTGCTTGCCCTTATTTGTAATCTTCTCCAGAGTTTAAAATTCAAAGCTGTGGATGATGAGACAGGAGTAACGAACCGAGCCTCAGACACGAGGATGTATTTACCCATCTCTCTCTTGTTGGCAGGTGGCTGTTCCTTTGATGAGCACTACAGCAACTGTGGTTACAGCGTGGCCCTGGGGACCAATGGATTTACCTGGGAGCAGATTAACACGTGGGAGAAACCAATGCTGGACCCAGCCGTGCCCACAGGTAGGTGACCCACTGTGTTTGGCATAGGTAGGTGAGCCACTGTGTTTGGAACTGTGATGAAGGTGGTATCTTCGATGATGATTCCTGGGAAAGAACTTTCTGATGAGTTAAGTTATCTGAGAGGGCCACACACAACTTTGTTGGTAATAAGTTCCCCGTTCCCCGAGGTATGCAAAGCAAGGCTGAGTGAACTCTTAAGAATGTGGTTAAGAGTCACATGTTGCCTGCACTCAGGAACCTTTAGGGTTTCTTTTAGTTTTGAGATTCTGATCTTTAGCTCCGAGTGGAGCATCAGGATTTTGCTCGGGAGCCTGATAGCAGTGGCATTTCCAGGGAAGAAGGAGTTTCTGAAGAATCTGAGGTCACATTTTTCCTTTCAGGCCACAGAGACACAGCTTGTATGTATGTAGGGGAACTTCCACAGTGAAAATATTCCATGTAGTTAATAATGTCCAGAGCTCCTGAATACCACGTTTATCCTTAACCGATGGGCTAAACCCATAATGTGCCCCCTTGATGGAGACCTGCATGAGGCAGGCCTGTGAGATGTGTTGGAGGGGTGGTACACCTGGAAGAGGTGTGCTCAGGGTAGGGTGTGCCTGGCTGAGTTGATGTTGTAAGGCTGGAAGAATTACAGCTCCGAGAACATGAAGATCACCTCTCTGTAAAATGGGATCCATGCTGCAGTTATCAGGATAGCTGATTGTTGGCTAAGGGAAGCCATCTTTCACTCTTCCTCCATGACCAAGAGCTTTCTCTAACCCCCACACTTTCTTGGCTTTTAGCAATCCTTTCGGCGCTCTTTCTCCGGCTCCTTGGTCAGCTCACTCTGGCCATTAAACATTGGGGTTCTTCAGGCTCATTTATACTCTTTGCATGTGTCTTAGGGTTCTCCAGAGAAATAGAACCGATAGTATATATATGGGCATATGTATAGGAGGAGATCGATTATAGGGATTGGCTCACATGGTTATGGACAAACCCCATGAGAGATCCAGGATCTGCACTCTGCAAGCTGGAGAACCAGCAAAGCTAGTGGTGGGATGGGTATGAGCCCTGATCGGAGTCTGAAAGCCTGAGAACCGGAAGCACCAGTGTCCAAGGGAATAAGAAGGTAGACGTCTCCGTTCAAGCCGAGAGAACAAATTCACCATTACGTTGCCTTTTTGTTCTGATGGGGTCCCAAGGGGATTGGCCGATGCCCACCCACATTGAGGAGGACCGTCTGTTGTACTGAGTTTACCAGTTCCACGATAATCACTTCTAGAAACATTCTCACAGAACACCCAGAAATAACGTTTTGCCAGCTATTTGGGTATCACTTAGCTCAGTCAAGTTGACACAAAATACTGTAAACCATCCCATGGGTGACCTCAGCCATGCCTATGGCTTCAGACATCTCTTTGGAACTCTACATTTACATAATCCACTGTGTGTGCCTTCGTGGATTCTGGGGAGAGGGATCTTTCAGGGGGTCACTAAGCTGAGGACAGAGAAGTTGCTCAGATGTATCGAGGGGAGGTTATGGTCTTTGTGTGGCCGCATTGACTTTAAGTTTGGCTCCAAAGCAGGAAGCTACTGGATGGCTCAGCCTAGTTCCTGCTATGGTTGTAAATTGTTTTGATAAGCTCTTTCTGAGTGTAGACATGAGCCCCGTGTATAATAACGATGTGCTCTGCTACAAAATTGAGCTTCCCAGAGCTGGTGGGATCTTCACTTCGCATAAGCAGAGTCACCAACAACTACACATGCCCATCAGTACAGTGACTGTTGGGCAACCTTTTGGTGGGAAAGAACACAAGCTTATGGTGGCCTCCAGGACTTGGCATGGCTGTTCCTTCCCATACCTCCAGCTGCACCATCTTCCATTGCCCCCTGTGCTCACTTCACACTGGCTTGTGTCAGTTTCCACAAGGTTCCATGCCTTTTTCTGCCTCAGATACTCACTTGGAAACAGCACTCTTCACATAACCTTTTCCCCTCTGTTCTCTGGTGCTTTCCCTTCACATCTCAGCTTAGACATCACTTCTTTGTAGTCGTTCTCCCTGGGTACCCGTCTAGGTCAGCTCTCTCTGAAGCACCCACCACCGCGGATGCTATGGGTTCAGTGTATGTTTTACTCCCAGATGAGAAGTTCCACGCGAATAGGGTCCATAACAATCTTGTCTGCAGCTTTATCTCCAGTGCTTAATACAGCACATCATACATAGTATGTATGAAAAATAACATTTTTGTTAGGTGAATGCCTATAGAGTCTTTATGACATAGTTTTAAATGAAGGAATGAAGGAGATGTCCCTCCAACACATCTCACAGGCCTGCCTCATGCAAGTCTCCATCAAGGGGGCACATTATGGGTTTAGCCCATCGGTTAAGGATAAACGTGGTATTCAGGAGCTCTGGACATTATTAAATGCCATTAGCCTTCTGTGAACTGACCACACATTTTCAGTCTTTGCTGCCATCCTTCCATTTTACAGATCAGAAAATCAAGGCTTCGAGAAGCTCAGTGACATTGCTGCTTTTGCCACTGTGCCACTGCCTCTCCCCAAAGGGACAACTCTGGCTTATGATCTTAATTTCCTCATCCCCTCATTACGGCAGGCTGTCATTTCTTAAATATTGGATTGTGCTAATACAATCCTCAGAGCTTGTCTAAGTAGAGACGTTTGATAACGATCACTGAAATTGTTCTGTCGTGACGTGCCTGGGGATTGCAGTGGCGCCCCTGCTGCTGAGGCAGAGAGGCATGCAAGTGAATTTGGATTAGGAAATTGTTTGTTCTTCCCATGGGCACAGGCGGAAGTCTTACTTTTTCTTCTGTGAAGCCAGCAGATCCATCGCGTTGGAAGTCTAGCTTGAGTTTATGCATTCAGATGGTCCATCACCTTTCACTGAGTTGCCTCTGTGTGACAGGCTCCCTGTTAGACCCTGGCTAAGTCAGACTGGGTCATGTTGGGCATTTATCGCCCTCATGGCTTCCTTGGCCAGATGGAATGAAATCTGAAGTCCTGGCTGTGGCCTGCACGGTCCTGTTTGTCTTCTCTGAGCCCCCTTTCTTCTCTCTCAAAATGCTGCACACACACTGGCCATTTTCAGTTCCTTGGACACATGTCAGGTTCTCTCCTTGCCCAGAACCTTTGCATATTCTGTTCCCTCCCATTGGAACTCCTTGCTCATTCTCTCTCTCTCTCTCTCTCTCTCTCTCTCTCTCTCTCTCTCTCTCTCTCTCTCTCTCTTTCTCTCTCTCTCTCTCTCTCTCTCTTTCAGTTAATTTTCACCCAAGGATATTTTTCTCCATTGAGTTTTTTAGAGAGAATGGAAGGGAGAGAGGGAGGGTCAAGGTGAGGGAGGGGGAGAGAGAGAGAGAGAGAGAGAGAGAGAGAGAGAGAGAGAGAGAGAGAGATATGAGAGAGAAACATCAATTGGTTGTCTCCCATATGCATCTGACCTGGGCCAGGGATCTAACCTACAACCCAGGTACATGCCCTTGACTAGGAATCAAACCCAGGATCATTTGTTGCACGAGCTGATGCTCTACCCACTGAGCAACATGGGCTATGGCTCTACTCTTAAATTGACTGATTTCTTCAGGTCTCAGCTCAATGACTCCTTCTCAGGGAGACGGTCCCTCAGTGTCTATCTAAAGAAAGACTCCCTCGTTCTCACTCATCACATTGTGTTCTTTGATTTCAAAGTCCTCTTCACAGACACACTTATCCCATACTCTGCCCCTGCGGAGTGACTCAGTTTTTTCACCTTTACCATGGGAACCGTGTGAGCGTTAAATGGGATGGTGGCTATGTGGGTGAGATGTGTCCATACATAATGGGGCTTCATCAATGCTGACTCCCCTAACTTTTCCTCTGGTTCTTACTAAGTATGTTTTAGAACTTTGTCCCCCCCTTCAGGCTCAGCTGCCTCTGATACTGCTTTCCCCAGGTGAGCCTTCCGGCGGGAGGATCCTGAGGGACCTAAGACCTTTCCATCCCCAAGACTTGTGCTGCCCGAGGGCTGGGGCACCTCCCGCCTCTCGCTCGGCTGTTAGGTCAGCATTACCCACTCCTGTGTCGCATTCTTCCCCTCGTCCCGCTCTGTCGTGAAAGTCTGGGCACCTGTCCCAGGCTTCGGGCCTGGTTCTCCTCCAGCCTCATCTTCCCTGGGGCCTCCGTAGAGGAGGGGGGTCACTACAGCCTCAGCGCTAAATAACCCATGCTGCACCCATTCATCTTCCCTCCAGGCCTCGCTCTTTTCCATGGAGCTAAGCGGCTACCACCGCTCCTCGCTCTGCCTCCCCCGCTGTTGGCATGGCTTCCACATGACCATGCTGAGGGCCAGCCCAGGCCCCGCGAGAGAGGCATGTGCCAAAAGTGCCGTTTTAAAAAGGGCTAAAGTCAGAAATAATGAGGCCTGGGGAGGTTTCCTTCTTTTTCCTTCGAATGCTTGCAGGACCTTATTTGAAGTTGTTGGAATGAATTTGGATTGAATCCCAGGCTGAAAACCAGGTGCAGGAGAAATACTGCATTTACATCACCTCGAATCTTACCCTGAACCTCCCTGAGTTAGATATCCATTTCCAGGCATTATGCCCCCCTTCTCTGGGGTCTACCAATGTCCCTGTGGTTTCCTCTGAGGGTCACTGTCACATCTCCGGTGGGTCCTGTGCGTCTTGTCATTCTGCTGCCTCTTTCCCAGGTCCAGCCCGCCCAGGTGCATCACCCAGCAGCCCTCTGGTGCCAAGCAGTGTGGGGCCCTCAGGCCCATCTCTTCCCCTTCCCAGGATAGGAGAATCTCTCCACCACCTTCCCAGCCCTCCCAGGCACACCTGTCCCTGCCCTGCCTCCCTGGGACCCGCAGCACAATCTCTTCAGTGAGTGTCACACCAGGCAGCTTCTTGTTTCCAGCCAAACTTTCTGGAGCAGAGAAATACCCTCTTGGCCGTGGCTTGGCTGGAAGGGAAGAGTCAGGATCGCAGACGCACAGGCACCACATGGACAGGCA